ATGAGCAGCAACTGCGGACCCGCTGTTATTTATAGCCTCTAGTAACCCGCCAGGGAAAGTACCAACAGCAGCAAAAAGAGGGGTGTGGGTGGACTGTGCTCAGCTGTGGCTCACTGGATGGTGTCATACAGTCCCAACAGTCTCAATGCAACGATTAATAATAATAATAATAATAATCCTTGCATTTGATATAGCGCTTTTCACGTCGGGAGGACGTCCCAAAGCGCTTCACAGAACACACTGTAAAGTGAATTGACTGTATATTTGTGGGCGAACGCGGCAGCCAATTGCGCACAGCAATGTCCCACAAACAGTCGTAGATTGAAAATGACCAATTTATTATTATTTTTTTTTTATTTTTTTTGGAGGGATTATTATTAGGCTCTGTGTGGAGTAAGGAAACTTGCCCAAGGTTTCGCCCTTTTTGATTGATCTGAGCCCCCAATGCAAACCCCATCGTTGCTCTCATTCTGGTCTGCGAAATAACCAGAAATGCGCACGTTGTCGGATTTAACGACTTCCACCCTTGGTTTTCGGTGCACGGTATCGTTGCACAAGGCTGAAACTCGGCTTTAATTCGATAAGATGCTTTTTGCAAACGTTTATTGCACAGTGCCTCTCACGATTTGGACTCAAGTCGTTGCGACGTGTTATTCTCATCATAGGGAAATTCTGAGATTGCATTTCCCAATCATTTATTCCACAACACATGATTCTGCTTTTTTGTTCATGTTGAAATAATGATCTGGATTTATATAATTCCATACCATTCACTATTTATGTATAAGTGTGTTTCTCTCTCTCACTCTCTCTCTCATCCCTCCTCAACTAGTTGCTTCTGGATCTAAAGTGTTTTACTTATTTGTTTTAATAGATCACTCTTTTGCACTATTTGCACTATTTTCTGACATTTTCTAATGTTGCTCCACAGTATTTGTGCTATGACCATTTGAGTGACCATTTACTGAATAATAATATTCTCAGTGTGATCTGGTTGGCTGATTTTTAAGTCCTCCTAAAGTTCAGTTTAGTTATACTTTCCTAGTATGACTATGTACGCTCACCTTCACTTAAATGTTTTTGCTATAATTTGTAATAATAATTGCTTCACCACAATAGTATCTAATTTACGATACTCACAAACCTCATTTGATGAATTAATTGTCATTTAATGGACGTCCTCCTGACGTGAAAAGCGCTATATCAAATGCAAGGATTATTATTATTATTATTGTTATTTCCATTTTGCTCTTCATGGTTTATTGCCTTTTTTGACTTTGCTAACTTTGCCAATTTGGGATTTGTTTTGTAAGTATCACAAATTAAACTCATGGTCTGGATATTGATAATGGATAATAATGATCAGCAAGATAATGCTGCTCTTCCAAATACTCACAGTAAGGAAATCTTAAGAATTGGCACTACTGCACTTCTTAGTGTTTGAGAAATTTCTGTAACAACAACTTGCACTTATATAGCACCCTCCACGCAGGGTAGAGTCTCAGAGCGCTTAAGAGTGGCAGAGCCTGTTTCCGAGCCGGTGGAGGTGGGTGGGGAGGTTTGGGGTTTGGAGCTAACATTCAATGCTAGAACCATTGTGAACAAGGGAATGTTTAATAACATACACTGATGTCACATAGTTACCAATTTGATCAGCTGCTGACATTGCTTAACTTGGTTTTACTGTAAACTGACAATTAGTGTGTGGAAACTGTTTAGCTGAGGTTCAAATTTTACATGTCAGCTAGTTGCTGCCAGTTCAACAAATCACCCAAACTGACCTTCCCCCACCCATGAAATGTAAGAATTACTGCTGCAACTTTCATTTAAAATGCTCTCAATTGTTTTCTAAAATTGAGGACAACAACAACAACAAGATTCCATTTATAAAGCGCGTTTCACGTCAGGAGGACGTCCCAAGGCGCTGCACAGTTGGGTCATGACCCGAGCAGAGGGGAATTGGTCAGGGTGAGGGGAGGGAAGGGAGGGAGCGAGGAGGGGGAAGAGAGTCGAGAGGGGAGCTGAAGGCACGGTCAAAGAGAAGTGAAAAGTGCAACTTTTGTATAAAAATGCTTGTTTGAGGCGGGACTTGAAGGAGGGGGCGAGGCAGAGTGATTGGGGGATGGAGTTTCAGAGGTTGAGGGCAGAGTGGCTGAAGTTTCTCCCGCCAATGGTGGGGCGGGGGACGTGGAGCAGGCCAAAGCTGGCTGAATGAAGGGAGTGGGCGGATTGGTAGAGGGTTAGGAGATCACAGAGATAGGGTGGGGTGAGACCATTGAGAGCTTTGTAGGTGAGGACCAGGATTTTGAACTGCATCCTCTGAAGGATAGGGAGCCAATGGAGTCGGGCGAGAATCGGGAGATGGGGTCACGGAGTTTGGTGCGGGAGAGGACATGGGCTGCAGAGTTCTGGATTACCTGCAGCCTGTGGAGGGAGGAGTTGGGAAGGCCAACAAACAGAGAGTTTGCACAGTCGAACCTGGAGGTGATGAAGGCATGAACAAGAGTGTCAGCCTGAGGGGTGAGGTAGTGGCGGAGTCGGGTGATGTTATGAAGATGTTACGCTGGCACAAGCCAATCAGGAGGGCCTCAGTCTTGTTCACATTCAACTGTAGGAAATGTGCCCTCATCCAGGACTTGATGTCCAACAGGACAGCAGTGGTCCTGGAGTTGAGGGTGGAGGCAGAAAGATAGAGTTGGGTTTCATCCGAATACATATGGAAGTTGACCCCATGTCTGCGGATGATGTTACCAAGGGGGAGCATATAGATATTAAAGAGGAGAGGGCCAAGGACAGAGCCCTGGGGGACGCCAGATGTGACAGTGCGGAGACTGGAGGAGAAACCGTTAGAGGCAACAAAGTGGAGACGGTGAGAGAGATAGAAATCGAATCAGGCAAGGGCAGGACCTCGAAGATAAAGTAAAGAGGAGAGGCGGTGTATGAGAATGCAGTGGTCGACAGTGTCGAAGGCGGCAGAGAGGTCGAGGAGGAAAAGGAGGCAGAAGGAGCCCTGATCACAGATGTTCAGAATGTCATTAGTGACTTTGACCAGGGCCGTTTCCGTGCTGTGGGCAGCGCGGAAGACGGATTGGAGGGTTCAAAGAGGGAATGGTGAGAAAGAAAGAAAGAAAGAAACAACAACAACAACAACAAGATTCCATTTATAAAGCGCCTTTCACGTCAGGAGGACGTCCCAAGGCGCTGCACAGTTGGGTCATGACCCGAGCAGGGGGGAAATGGTGAGGGGAGGGAAGGGAGGGAGCGAGGAGGGGGGAAATGGTCAGGGTGAGGGGAGGGAGGGAGCGAGAAGGGGGAAGAGAGTCGAGAGGGGAGCTGAAGGCTCGGTCAAAGAGAAAGGTTTTGAGACCGGCCTTGAAGGAGGAGAGGGAGGAAGCGGCGAAGGCACTGGGGGATAGAGTTCCAGAGCCTGGGGGCTGAGAGGCTGAAGGCCCGACCACCGATGGTAGGGCAATTGGGGCGGGGGACGTGGAGCAGACCGGAGCCGGAGGAACGGAGGGTACGGGCAGGTAGGTAGGGGGATAGTAGGTTGGAGAGGTAGGAGGGAGCAAGGCCGTGAATGGCCTTGTAGGTGAGGATGAGGATCTTGAAATCAATCCTCTGGGGGATGGGGAGCCAGTGGAGGCGAGCGAGGGTGGGAGTGATGTGGTCGCGAAGCCTGGTGCGGGACAGTACACGAGCTGCAGAGTTCTGAATGACCTGCAGCTTGTGGAGGGAGGTGCCGGGAAGGCCGGCGAGGAGAGAGTTCCCATAGTCCAGCCTTGAGGTGACAAAGGCGTGGACCAGGGTTTCAGCAGCGTGAGGGGTGAGGTAGTGCCGTAGTCTGGCGATGTTCCGGAGGTGATGGAAGGCGGTGCCAGTTGTGGTGCGGATGTGAGGGAGAAAGGACAGCTCAGGGTCGAACAAAACGCCGAGGTTCCTGACTGGCTTTGAGAGGTGGAGAGTGCAGCCTTGGATGCTGATGGTGTCAGCGCCTGAGGTGCGGAGGCGCTGACGTGAGCCAATCAGGAGGGCCTCGGTTTTTCGCACGTTGAGCTGAAGAAAGTTGTCTCTCGTCCAGGACTCGATGTCGGACAGGCAGCTGTCAGGACATCGGTGGTCGTGGAGTTGAGAGTAGAGGAGGAAAGGTAGAGTTGGGTGTCATCCGCATACATGTGGAAGTTAACCCATGTCTGCGGATGATGTCACCAAGGGGGAGCATATAGAGGGTGAAGAGGAGGGGACCGAGGACAGAGCCCTGAGGGACACCACATGAGACAGTACGGGGGGTGGAGGAGAAGCCATTCGTCGAGACAAAGTGAAGACGGTGAGAAAGGTACGACCTAAACCACTCAAGGACAGTGCCTTGAAGGTTGAGGTGGGAGGACAAGCGGTGGAGGAAGATAGTGTGGTCGACCGTATCGAATGCTGCCGATAGGTCGAGGAGGACGAGGAGGCAGAGGGAGCCCTGGTCACAGATGGTCAGGATATCATTGGTGACCTTGACCAGGGCAGTTTCTGTGCTATGGGCAGCACGGAAACCTGACTGAAGAAAGAAAGAAAGAAAGAAAGAAAGAAAGAAGGAAAGAAAGAAAGAAAGAAAGGAGCGGAGCTGGGACGTGACGACTGATTCCAGGACCTTGGGGCGGTAGCCAGAGAGGAGGGATGGATCCAGGGAAGGTTTTTTTAGGATGGGGCTGATGACGGCTGTTTTTAGGGGGGTGGGAACTGAACCGGTGGACAGGGAGAGGTTGTTGACATCTGAGATGGCTGGTATACCAGGAGGATATACTGGAGTATGAGGCAGTTTTGGAGGTGAGAGGAGGCAAGGGAATCCAGAATGGAGGAGAGGGAGTTGTGGAGAAAAGAGAGTGAGGAGAGGAGATTGTTCAGGGAGGGCCAAAGCTGTTGGAGTTCAGATGACTCCAGGGCAGTGGAGAGGGAGAGGGAGGAAATTTTTTTCCAAAAAGCTTATGATAGAATGTTTTTATTCCGGCAGTCAG